TTTTGAGTAATTTCCGTTGACCGGAAGTACTTATTTACACTATTACCGATTTCTCAAAAACGCATGTAAATTTATAAAGTACTAATAATATTGCGCACTATTATGCACATTTTATTTTGGCGTTCGCTTGGTGCGCAATTCTTTTTTCTACGATATTCTAATCTATTTTTCAAAGTTTAAGTAATTAAAAATCATGTCTATATTCTGAGTTACATAAGAATATTCGAGAAAGTTTAGGGGAGATCACTTCCGGTTTATTTAAATTAAAGGCCTTTAAAAATATTGAATAACATTGCTGACACTTATTTCTAATTTCTAATTTTGTTTTGTAACTAAAATGAAAACTAACTTGCAGCAGTAAATTTTAAATAACACTTAAACAGAGATGATTATAATTATAATATCATAGTCAGCATAAGGTGGGTGTAAGTACAAAAGTTCTACATCAGCAGTCATAGAGGTGTAATATCATAGTCAGCATAAGGTGGGTGTAAGTACAAAAGTTCTACATCAGCAGTCATAGAGGTGTAATATCATAGTCAGCATAAGGTGGGTGTAAGTACAAAAGTTCTACATCAGCAGTCATAGAGGTGTAATATCATAGTCAGCATAAGGTGGGTGTAAGTACAAAAGTTCTACATCAGCAGTCGTAGAGGTGTAATATCATAGTCAGCATAAGGGAGGGGGGGGGGGGAGTAAGTACAAAAGAATGAAAAAGTTTTTGGTATAAAAAATTCATAAAAAACGTTTTAATAACAAGCTTTTATGTAATGATGCACTAAAAAGTAGAAAATAAATTATAGACTACTATTTAAATAACTATAAAGAACAGCGTGGGTCACTTTAGTATCTATTGGATACCTTTACTAATGCTAAGGAAGACACCCACGCTTTTCTTTATAGTTATTTAAATAGTAGTCTATAATTTATTTTCTACTTTTTAGTGCATCATTACATAAAAGCTTGTTATTAAAACGTTTTTTATGAATTTTTTTTTCAGTACTTTACATGTTTTATTTACAATAGAGTTACATGACTAAAAACCATTGCGCGCCTACTGAACATCACGTTCAGTAGGCGCGCAATGGTTTTTGAACGCAGCCATTACGTGATGGCGCAGCTATTGAAGGTGATGACGCGTGTGGTGTGGTTGGCTAGACATGCCTACTAATTTGGTCCAAATTTTAATTAATTCATAAAATATTAATTAGGCATCCAATTAAGTCAAATTTAGATTCAGATTGCATTGTCTTCATGTCTTGACCCACGTGCCAACTGTGAATCGTATCGGTCAAGTAGAACTGTCCAAATTTTCACTCCTGCGTTTCCGTCTAGACTGACGACTGACGACTGACGAGGAAGTGAGTTAAATAAAAGCTTGTAAAAACAACATTATCACTGGCTCTTCATTTTTACTGACAAACACACACATGCACACACACACACACATATATATATATATATATATATATATATATATATATATATATATATATATATATATATATATATTAATTTTAAGTAACAAATAGATTATCTTTCTTACCTCGTTGTTTAAGTATAACTTGGAAGTATAAAATCTCCAGGAATGTTTTGGTGCTAGTGGAATATTCAGAGAGTAAACAAAGTGCTAACAACAAAAAATAAAAGCCATATCCCATCTTGACTCAAAATGCAGTTCCTGCAATCAGTTTATTTCAGGTTCTCTTCGGGGGGGGGGGGGGGGGCGGAGAGAACGTCTACATCCCCTCTCCCCCAACGAAATAGAATTCAATTAGAAAATATATACTTTTACTATTGCATCCCTATTCCCTAGCAGAAAAAAAAGTCTGAAAGAAACACTGCTTGCAATCTACCCTGACCCTAGTATCTCGACAGACTACATAAGTCCAATTAAATGAAAAACTTGTTCTCGTCTTCTATTCTCAATAATAACTGTTAACTTTCAGTCGATCTACATTTACTGGTTATTGATTGTTTTCTCATTTTGATCATTCATCAAGAAATTTCATTAGTAAAACAGCATACACTACTAAAAACATAGATATACATTTTTATCGTTACAAATTACCAAATACATTCATACATATACATACACACATATAATTATCGTCTAAGAAAGCTACGAAACGTTAAAGCATCATGCGTATAGATATGGTCATCAAGCACAAAGTGACCAGCATAAAGGCACTGCTATCTCTAGTGTTCCCAGAGTTCTCTTTATTGGGTATTCCAGTTACATTGTGAGTCACAGCTGTTGTTGTTGTTGTTGTTGTTGATGTGGATAACTCAGGTTTCTCTACACACGTGTTGTTGACGACCATCATGTTGTTATGACGACAGCACACCGTGTTGTTATATCCCCCACACGATCTCGCCTCATAATTCAGGTCCAAGTTGTCGCCCGTGCCACACACCTGGCAGAACTGGCACTTCCACTCACACCTGTCGCCCGCCTCCTGTCTGTAATAACCGTCCTTACACATAATGTGTGTGTCTCGCACTGAGGTGCATGGGCTGGCTACTGTTTCTGTCTGGTAGAAAAGGAATGGCCGTGTTACTCATACATTTGCAGAAGAACAGAAAACATTTGAACATGTGCATAAGAGATGCCAGGTGTCTACTCTCTGCTTGTACGCACGTGCAAGTCTGTTGTGAGTACTATTGTTGAAGACTATTACCAAGACCAAATATAGGTTTAAAGTATATTTTTTAACATCCTTGCATTAAATAAAGAGTTAACAGAGAAAAAACATGGAATATAAATGAAATACAAATGAAATAAATTATAAAACATTATAACGAAGTAATGTGTACGAGGGTTTTACAATTGCAATATTTGACGCCTTAACATTTAACCTAAAGGCACACACGGGGCGCCTAAAGTAGAGCGCATCTGTTTAATTTTGTTGCTGGGAGTGTAGTTAATTCTATGCTAACTTGTCTCTCTCTCTCTCTCTCTCTCTCTCTCTCTACACAACCAAATGTCTTATCACTACACGGCAAATGTCCTATCACTACACGACCAAATGTCCTATAACTACACGACCAAATGTCCTATCACTACACAACCAAATGTCCTATCCCTACATGACCCAATGCCCCATCACTACACGACCAAATGTCCTACCACTTCACGACCGATCTTTACACTTCCAAATGTCCTATCACTACTGGAATAAATGTCCTATCACTACACGACCAAATGCCCTATCACTACACGACCTCTCACTACACGACTACATGCCATATCCCTACACGACCAAATGTCCTATCCCTACACGACCAAATGTCCTACCACTAAACGACCAAATGTCCTACCACTAAACGACCAATTGTCCTATGACTACACGACCAAATGTCCTATCACTACACGACCAAATGTCCTATCACTACACGACCAAATGTCCTATCACTACACGACCAAATGTCATACCACTACACGACCAAATATCCTAACACTACACGACCTCTCACTACACGACTACATGCCATATCCCTACACGACCAAATGTCCTATCCCTACACGACCAAATGTCCTATTCCTACGCGAACCAATACCCCATCACTACACGACCAAATGTATTATCACCCTAACCACTCTCTACTTACCGATGCGTCAGGAGTCAGGCAATTCTCACAGCTTTCATATTTATTCTCGCTGCTCATCATTGCTGTCATGAATGTCCCACCAGGACAAGCCTTACACTTGTGTGTTACTTCGTCTATGTGATGTCCTGCGGGACAGGATACCACCGTACCCTCTGAACGCAAAGCGCTGCTGACAGGTCTATCAGGCATTGGTCTAGAGGGGATGTCCGGATCACAAACAGCTCTTACACAAACAAAAGTCACCATCAAAATCGGTATCAATGTTATGAAATGATTTCCCATGTTTCCAGTAGGGTGGTTGAAGTAAACTTAAACCCAGTTTAAATGTTACGAAAAGTCAGTTATACACTTCCAGAACAACCTGTCGGATTGTGTATGGAGTTCTGATATTAGCGAAACCCTGGGTCTAGACCCCAAACTTTAGCGTTGTGTTTACCAGACTTTAGCACTGTGTTCAACTCATGATCTTGTCCAAACTGTAGACGAGAAAATAGATGTAATGTTTAATTGAGTGCACGTAGTGAGATGCTTTAAACGTATATTGCTGCGGCATTCATAACATGCCTAGTGTGAGGGGGGGGGGGGGGGGGAGGGGGGTAGTGCTCAGACGTTATAACTGGCATTAGCTTAGGGTAGGGAACTTTTTACCCCAGTTATAACATCTGAACCCCCCCCCCTCCTCTCCCCTCTCACACTAGGCAGGTCGTCTGATCTTTAATTGTATTAATGTCCATACTATTGTATTGTGTAATTATAGGTTAGATAGGTCATAATGGCTGTAATAGGAATAGTCCTTAGTGTGTTTGACTGTACGTCCCCATCACTAGATACAAGATTGAACAGCTTGTAGTTGTCGCAGTCGTAGAGAGTTCGAGTTAATGCATGCACAGGTCAGGCGCCCCGCCCCTCGCGGGACTGCTGGGGTTAGGTAGGGGTTGGGTTACCTGAGGGTGAGGCTGAGCCCGGGAAAATTAATTACGTAATGTAATCGTATGACAGTGTGTTTGTACGTAAATGTACATGTGTATGTGTATGTTTATATGTGATCATTTGAAACGACCAAAATTGAATTTAGATGTATAAGCTCCCCACACACGTTAACTTATTATACACACAAAACGTGACACACCTTAGCAATGTACACAACATATTAATAAGGTTTATGCTACTGGTAAACACGGTATACTATTATAAAACATGCTTTTGTCAAACTCTCAACAGAAACGACACATACATACAATCGGAATAATGTGGGCCAAAGTATTTTAACGTGCCGCCCCCCCCCCCCCCCCTCCAGGAACTTTTGATTGCCGCACACCGGGAGAAAATGTCTAAAAGAAACCCGTACACAAGTCTAAACATGAAGTAAATCTCTGAGGCGTAGCGAGCCATTTATGCGCCCTCTCACACTACATTTACATTTACAAATCCCGAAGAACGTCCGACCCGACCCGACCCTCCACCCCCCCCCCCCCCCACACACACACACCAACGAAATAGAATTTATAATGAAAATAATTTGTCACTTTCGGGCAAGTATCCATTCGGGAAATCGGCCTCCGGGCAAACGGCATTCGGGCAAGTGTCTTTCGGGAATTTGTCGTAGACCCGATAATTCAGTATATCAGCTTAAAATATCAGCTTTGCATTTATTTTTCTAACAATTTAGGGGCCTCCTGCCCTCCCCCATCCTGGGATCAGCCCCGGGGCGGCCAACCTACCCGCCCACACCTTGCTACGCCACTGGCTTACTTGTGGCCCAGATTACACTAGTGTTATTGATATCAACCGTAGACAACATACAGTCAGAGGGAAGTGGGGGAATCATTTGATTTGTTATATCGGAAACAAACAACAACATACAAGACGGTCACACGACAACGTGGGCCGCCGTATAGCCTCCACACACATCATCGTACAGAAACTAGGCTCAGAACGACCGTGTATGACAACAGAACGACTGTGTATGACAACAGAACAACCGTGTATGACAACAGAACGACTGTGTATGACAACAGAACGACCGTGTATGACAACAGAACGACCGTGTAAGACAATAGAGCGACCGTGTATGACAACAAATCACCATACAGAAACTAGGCTCAGAACGACCGTGTATGACAACAGGACGACCGTGTATGACAACAGGACGACCGTGTATGACAACAGGACGACCGTGTATGACAACAGGACGACCGTGTATGACAACAGAACGACCGTGTATGAAACGCATCACCATACAGAAACTAGGCTCAGAACGACCGTGTATGAAAACACAGCAGCACAACGTGTATTGTGCAATATTTTGGTTGAAGTTTGAAGCAGGAAATAGGTCAGACTAATCAAAAGCAGACTCAGACATTCGACTTACATGGCTATTTTCGTCTTTGCTACATTAGCATAACGTACTATAAAAAGTTTTAACTATCTAGACTAACTGGATTATTCTATGCAAACAAAAAAATGAAATACAAATATAGCTTTAATAAATAACAAAAGATTAGTTACATAGATAAAACACTGTAAAAAATTTTAAATTTTGCTATATTTAAAAAAAGTAACAACATGCACTAATTATAAAATAAAGAAAATACGGGTTGTTGTTGAAGAAAAAGTTATATGTTAATAAAAAGTTATATGTTAATAAAAAGTTATATGTTAATAAAAAGTTATATGTTAATAAAAAGTTATATGTTAATAAAAAGTTATATGTTAATAAAAAAAGTTATATGTTTAAAAAAAAGTTTTATGTAAAAAAGATGTATGTTAATAAAAAGTTTATGTTAATAAAAAAAGTTATATGTTAATATAATAGTTGTATGTTAATAAAAAGTTATATGTAAATAAAAAGTTATATGTTGATAAAAAGTTTTATGTTAATAAAAAAGTTATATGTTAATAAAAAGTTATATGTTAATAAAAAAGTTATATGTTAGTAACAAAAATTATATGTTAATAAAAGAGTTATATGTTAATAAAAAGTTATATGTAAATATAAAAGTTATATGTTGATAAAAAAGTTATATGTTAATAAAAAATGTATATGTTAATAAAAATGTGTATGTAAATAAAAAAATATATGTAAATAAAAGAGTTATATGTTGATAAACAAGTTATATCTTTATAAAAATGTAGGCCTGTATGTTAATAAAAATTTATATTTAAATTAAAAAAGTTATATGTCGATAAAAAGGTTATATGTTACTAAAAAAGTTATATGTAATAATAAGTTATATGTTAATAAAAAAGTTATATGTAATAAAAAAGTTGTATGTAATAAAAAAGTTATATGTTAATGAAACTTTACATGTTAGTAAAAAGCCTTAGTATATGACGTAACTAAACTGACCGGTATAAAATAATTTTTTTATGTACACTTTTTAATGTTGCCATATGCAGATGTGACGGAACAATTTGTAGGCTGACTATAGTCGAATTAATATATACAACTAATTTATACAACTAATAGATTATATACAATTAATATATGCAACTAATATATACAACTAATAGATGTATTTACAATTAACATATACAACTGATAGATGTATATACAACAAATATATACAACTAATATATACAACAAATTTATACAACTAATAGATGTATACACAATTAATATATACAACTAATTTATACAAATAATAGATGTATATACAACTAATATATACAACTAATACATACAACTAATTGAAAAATGTGGTACCAAATACTCGGATGAGTATCACAATCATATTTAATATCTTATATACAATATAGTAATAGATTTATATAAGATGGCTAAAAATAGCATACGTTTTTCCTAGATTTAGACTTTGTAGGTCAAAGAGTTTTACTAAAAAGGTTGTCGGAGAAAAGTGAACAGAAGCACTGTACACAATTCATGATTTTAAGAAACTTATTGTACAGGGTCTATTCTATTCGCACTCAAATTCAACAGATTAATTTTAAATTCAACTAGAATACCCGTCATCCGTTGGATAACTGTGGGTTTCGGGGGTCATCCATCAAAAAACATCACGTCTGTCACTCAGAGGCATAGCGACCCTTCCCGGCGCCCGGGGACAAAGTTTTCGATTTGAACCCCCCCCCCCCCCCCCCCGTCAAACTTTTGATGTGCACCCCCCCCCCACTCAAACTTTCGATTTGAACCCCCCTCAACCTATCAATTTACTTTTCCAAACCATTTTGGCGCCCCAACATATGTCCCCCCCCGCCCCCCTTCCCCCCCACCGCCTCCCCTTTCCCCCCCCCCGCCTCCCCTCCCCCCCGCCTCCCCTCCCCTACCGACCCCCCCCCCTCCTCGGTACGCTACTGCAGTGTCACTTATCGTCACAAAAAACAGACCCCACATTCAAAAATATGTTTTTTATCTTTTAAAAACACCGAAAACACCGATTTCGGACTATCCCTTCATATACTGACGTCACATGTGACCTACTCAACTCTACTTCACCTGCCCAGTGTCCCGCCAAGTCTCAGACAACATGTATTTATCGTTTAAAAAACGATTCCAGCCGAGCATATCTCTGATCACACTATCCTTTCATATGCTTAGGACAAAGAAACAGATGAACTCTACTTCACCTGCCCTGTATCTTGCCAAGTTCAGATAGGCAACTTTATCATTCACATCTAAAAAAAAAAATTGAAAAAAAAAATTTCATTGACATATTGGTCTAGAACCCGTGCCAACTGCATGAGAGCCGACTACGCTACCATTTTAGCTATTTACTCGTGACGTCACAAGTGAATTTTTATACTATACTATGTGTCTCCTTATGCAACTTGATTTACGCGTATAGATTCTAGATCTAGATCTAAGTCTAATAGTACTAACTTTCAAATTAAATTTTATCTTAAATTAGCCAAACAAAGATTTATATAAAATAATTAAGGCCTGAAATAGATTCTAGATGTAGAATTTACATTAAGTCTAGATCTAGAATTTACATTGAGTCTAGTGACCTACATCTAGGCTAGATCTAGATCTAGATCTAGGCTAGATTCATTACTTTCCTTCGATAGCTGATCTTTAGATCTAGAGAAATTTATCGTAAAACTAAATGAAAAAGACAGTTGAAAATTGATATAAGTGTTGGAACGTAATAAATACAGCAAACGGACGTATTGTTTAAGTTATAGCCGGCAGAAAATTAGCTTTGTAACGCGTTAAACTTTTGAATGGGCCACAAAGTCTATGATGGAGTCCGCCATTTTTATTGTACCAAAAAGTTAACACATCAAGGGACGTCACTATCCCCACAAAGTTTATTCAAAGTATTAACATTTTAAAAAAAATACGGTTAATTTAACTATGAATAAATCAATAAATTAATTAACGTCTTTAAATAAATTTGTGATTAACAGTCTGTCTGCATTAAAAAATTATTCTCTACCTACATACTATTTTACAGCTCTCCACATAGAGTCGAACATATCACAATAGTCGATCAGGCAAAAAAACAAACAAACAAACAAAAAAATAAATATTCAAAC